CTTTTTGCTTATGTGGTGCTGAGGAATTGAACCCAGGGCCTCATGCATGCAAGGCAAGCGCTCTACCACTGAGCCACCTTCCCAGCCCCAATTTGTACATTTTTCAACTTTGAAATGATACCTGAACAAAAAAAGATACTGTAAAATAAAAAATCTGTAATAAACTGTGGAGGGATATAATTTTTAAGTATTTCTGGGTATTTTCCGTATGTTTTAAAAATTCAAAGCTAGGTGCCAGTGAGTCACATTATAATCCTAGCTACTTAGAAGGCTGAGATCTGGAGGATCATAGTTTTATGTGGGCAGAAAGGCTCACTAGACTCCATCTCCAAAACGATCGGTAAAAAGCAGGGCTGGAGGCATGGCTCAAGTGGCTCTGAGTTCACCCTTCAGTACTCTCAAAAATATTTCATATTTAACATTGAGTTTATCAGCAGACAATATTATATGTATGTGAAGGAGATGAACCTAGGGCTTAAACTCAGGCCTAGGTACTGTCCCTGAGATTTTTTTTTTTTTTTTTTTTTTGCTCAAGAGTAGCACTACTACTTGAGCCACTAGCTTATTTTTGGTGGCGAACTGGAGTTAACTCCTGCCTGGGATGGCTTCAATGCATGATCCTCAGATCTCAATCTTCTGAGTAGCTAGTATTACAGGCCATCAGCAGACTGTATTTTATATTATTTTCCTCAAATAAACTTCATTCTTCCAATGGGTTTATTTTTCACAGTGTGAAAATTTTTGGATGGTCAATTATTATGTCCTAACAATAACTTTTGTTTTCTTTGGATTTTTTTTAAAAGGATGACATAACTCAAGCTGGCTTCAGACTTACAATCTTCCTATCTCAGACCCCCAAGGGCCAGATTTCAGATGTGCTCACTATGCCCAGCAAACACTAACCTTTTAAACTATGTATAGAACTTCAGTTGCTAATAAAAGGTCATGGGGATCTGTTTTGTGATCTACTTCTGTTTTCATGGAAGGGAAAATTCTTGGCAAGTGAATGGCTCTCTCCAGAAATCCCACTTGTTTTCTTGAGCATTTTAAGCCTGGAGTACTATACTCTCAAATGACTATGGGGAAAACAGCAAGGAGGTTGAAAACAAAAGGACATGGCTCCTATCACTCTCTAAAGGAGGTGCTGACCCTGCAAGCACCAAGGGCACCCCTGGTGACCAAGGCACTTGGTGGAAGGGAGGTCACCACACTTGCAAGATTGGAAACAGAATGAAGCACGGGACAGCAGCACCACAGACAGGAGGCAGAGTGAGGCCTGGGACAACAGCACCAGGAGGGCTGAGGAGTCAACCACGTGAGGGAAGCTTGGATGGGGATGACAGCATACAAAAGTCCAAAGGTCCAGAAGGAAGACACAGGTTCAAAATATATTGTAGAACTAACTAATAAAGATACCTGTGTGTAGGCCCCTCAGAACTCACATCTTCTGTGACTTCTGGTGTTTCTGCTAAGAGAAAAAAAGTAATATTGTCTTATGTCTAAAAAAACATTTATGCAGTTGACTTTTTATCCTTTAAATGATTTCATCTTTCTCTTTTTGTCTACAAAGACTGTTATAATAAGAATTAACTGGAAGATTAAAATTTTATCTTTTAGATAAAATATATTCAATAAATGAGTATAATGAAGTAAAATGAGAAATCTTATCACATGAACAAAAATTAAAATTCACAGACAAATAGATCTATCAGGCCATGGGTAGAGAAGCACGACCTATTACAATCTTGAATCTACACGGTAATTCACCATCAGCTTTGCTGATCTCCAAGGGAGACATTAATGTGGCACACCCATTCTCAGGCTCACTCCATCTACCTCAGGCATCCTCGGGTCTGAGATTCTCCTACTCCCAGTTCACAGGTGCTGAGAACATGACAAAGCCCTTCAGTCTTTGCAAAGCTTCACGCAGGTAGTACAGAATGAGTAGTAAAGAACAGCTTGAGGAATAGGTACTGGGAGAGAAGACAATGGTAGGCATGAGACAGCACTTTTCTGTGTGACCTGCCCATCCTTAGACAGCCTCTGTCCCTGCACATCATCACAGTGCTATGAACCACTGGAGAGTAAAGTAGATGACTCACATCCAGCAGCTGGATGCTATGCAGTAGGCCCACAAAGCTGTCCACAAAGAACTTTCAAAAAAGGATTTGTTGCTATATGCTAGTGGCTCACACCTGTAATCCTAGCTGCTTAGGAACTTGAGACCTGAGGACTGTGGTTACAAGCCAGCTCAAGCAAGAAAATCCATGAGACTCTTTAGTCCAATTAACTACCAAAAAACCCAAAGTGGAGCTGTGGCTCAAGTGACACAAGGATAGTGCCCATGCATGTGGTAGGCATCCCCTAAGTATAAGAAACATGCTCTTCATTAAAAAGAGCTATACACAAAAACAGCTCAGGTGCAGAATGATAATTTATACTTAGGTTAAAAAAATACCTCAGTAAAAGATTTTCTTTCCAGTTGAAAATAGTGAGATAAAAATCTTAAAAAACAAAAAACAAAAAATGGCTGGGCGCTGGTGCATCACACCTGAATTCCTAGCTACTAAGGAGGCTGAAGTCTGATCATCACAGTTCAAAGCCAGCCTGGGCAGGAAAGTCCCCATGAGATTCTCATCTCCAATAAACCACCAGAAAACAGGAAGTGGTGCTGTGGCTCAAGTGATAGAGCACTTGCCTTGAGCTGAAGAGCTGAGGGATAGTGCTCTCGCCCAGAGTTCAAGCCCCAAGACCAAAACAAAAACCAAAAACCAACCAAGCAAACAACCAAAAACAGCTTGGGGATGGGAATGTGGCTCAGTAGTAGAATGTTCACCTAGTATGCATGAAGCCCTGGGTTCCATTCCTCAGTACCATATACACAAAAAAAGCCGGAAGTAGCGCTGTGACTCAAGTGGTAGAATGCTAGCCTTGAGCAAAAAGAAGCTCAGGGACAGTGACCAGGCCCTGAGTTCAAGTCTCAGGACAGGCAATTTAAAAAAAAAACAAACCTTGATTTTGAATACTAGAAACATTGGTTCTTAGTGAAGATTTTCCCACATATTTCATGTTGACTGTAACATTGATCTTTTACCACAATCCACTATGCTGTCCTTATCTGGTAACACAGAGGAGGGATCCTCTGCAAGTTAGAGAATAATAACTCACAGAGGTCTCATGCTTAAAGAAAATACATTCATTTTAAAGGCACTTGCCTTTTTTGGCTTATTTGGTTATTTTAAATGATTAAACATTATTTAAAAATAATTTACTATAAAAATAATTTGGGCCAAGTGCTGGTGGCTCACTCCTGTAATCCTAGTTACTCAGGAGGCTGAGATCTGAGGATCACAGTTCAAAGCCAGCCTGGGCAGGAAAGTCTGTGAGATTCTTATCTCCAATTAGCCATCAGAAAACCAGAAGTGGTGCTATGACTCAAGTGGTAGAGTGCTTACTTGCCTTGAGCTGAAGAGCTCAGAGACAATGCCCAGGCCCAGAGTTCAAGCCCCATACCTGACATTAAAAAAAAAAAAAAAAAACTTGGTGTGATTTTAAAACAATTTCCTTTTTTTACTGTCGGCATAAGCCATTAATAAAACTATATGGTAATATACCCTATTGTAAATTCTAAAAACTGGAACAAGTCTGACTTGTGGTCCTTTATAGAGATATGAAGTACACGGGGCAAGGTAGGTAGCAGGTAGCTTAGGACACGATTATCATTCTCCAGAACAGTGACAAACTACCAGGGAGGTAGAGTGGCTGATGAGCACTGGGGTAAAGGCCATGTAGAATCCCCTGCTATGGAGAATTTACGGGTCAGAAAACAGATGCTAAGCCTTTCCTGCCACAGGAGAATATTAATATTGGGCCCTTTTCCAAACCCCAGGCAGAGAATAAGGAAGTGATAATGCCCAGACTTATAGAACCAAGGAGCCCAGCAGCATGAGAGGAAACAGGGCCATGTACCTTCCTCCTCCACAGACTCGGTGCGGATGATGACAGGGCTGGAGTAGGTTGGTGGCAGCAGCAGTGGGAGGCTGGATGGGACAGCATAGCCACAGGGCACAGGCACTGAGTACCCACTGGGCACATGGAGGCCCACTCCTTCCTCCTCTACATGTGAATCAGGGGTTGAGGGCTGGGTCTCTTGGAACGGTGTGATGTCAATGACAGAATATGGGTTCACTTTCGTAGGAACAGCAAGTGTGGCTGGTCTGGCCACAGTGGCAGTCTCTGCGGCAGTTCCATCTTCACCTTCGCAGGACAGAAGGACACTTGTTGACAGAGCATCAAATGCATGCCTAACAGGTCCCTCACTATTACAGCTAGTAAGGATCCAGGGGTTCCATACCCTCTCTCCAATGCAAGGACCATCAACATTCTCAGACTACTGCAAGGGATAATGGCACCAGTCTACACAGTACAAGGTGATACAGGGACACACGTGCACCTCTGGACATAGGTAAGACTGACATTGCCTTTCAAGTCTCAAGACATTTATCCAATGACATGAGCTAAACAGCTGCAGATAGACTATGCCAAGGCATAGCCAAGGGGAGGAGAAAGGCTGATGTCACTTCAACCACAACTATGTCTAAGCAATCCACCTGGTTAGTGAGAACAAGCCTCAGACCCACCTCTAGATTTGAAATTTTAAACCTTTATAGTTAATTCGTCCCAAATGGAATAGAGATTTAAACATTCTATGCAATGTAATGCTATAATGACAAGGCGATTTTTATTAGGAAATAGCAAATCTTTGTGTTTTTTTTTGGGGGGGGGTCTGGTCATAGGGCCTGAATTCTGGGCCTGGGCACTGTCCCTCAATTCTTCAGCTCAAGGCTAGCGCTCTACCACTTGAGCCACAGTGCCACTTCCGGCTTTTTTTCTTTTTGCTTATGTGGTGCTGAAGAATCGAACCCAGGCCCTCATGTATGCAAGCAAGCACTCTACCACTGAACCACCTTCCCAGCCCATAGCAACCCTTTTTATCTCCTAAACATAAATAGGAATGTAGAGTGACAAGACTAGAAATTTGTAGGAAATGTCCATTAACAGAAGAAATTTAGCCAAAGCTGAGGTACATTAGCTCAGGTACATTACAGCAAAGCTGAGGTATACTTGTAGTGTCCAAGTACATCAGTGTAGCTGAGGTACACCCTGATGCCCAGGTATATCACAGCTAAAGCTGTACTTGTAGTGTCTAAGTACATCAGTGTAGCTGAGGTACACCCTGATGCCCAGGTACATCACAGCCGAAGCTGAGATATACAATGCCCAGGTACATCACAGCTGAAGCTTAGATACACCATGATGCCCAGGTACATCACAGCCAAAGCTGATACACCACAATGCCCAGGTACATCATAGCCGAAGCTGAGATATACCACAATGCCCAGGTATATCACAACTGAAGCTGAGATACACCACGATGCCCATGTACATCACAGCCAAAGCTGAGGTACAGCATGATGCCCAGGTACATCACAGCCAAAGCTGAGGTACAGCATGATGCCCAGGTACATCACAGCCAAAGCTGAGATACACCGTAATGCCCAGGTACATCACAACCGAAGCTGAGGCACAGCATGATGCCCAGGTACCTCCTAGCTGAAGCTGAAATACACCACGATGCCTAGGTACATCACAGCCAAAGCTAAGGCTGACCTGTGATGACCAGGTACATCACAGCCAAAGCTAAGGCTGACCTGTGATGACCAGGTACATCACAGCCAAAGCTGAAGCTCACCTGCGATGCCCAGGTACATCACAGCCAAAGCTGAGTCTGACCTGTGATGACCAGGTACATCACAGCCAAAGCTAAGGCTGACCTGTGATGCCCAGGTACATCACAACCAAAGCTGAGTCTGACCTGTGATGCCCAGATACATCACAGCCGAAGCTGAGGCTCACCTGCAATGCCCAGGTACATCACAGCCGAAGCTGAGGCTGACCCGTGATGTCCAGGTACATCACAGCTGAAACTGAGGCTTACCCGCAATGCCCAGGCACATCACAGCTGAAGCTGAGTCTGACCTGTGATGACCAGGTACATCACAGCTGAAGCTGAGGCTCACCCGCAATGCCCAGGTACAACACAGCCGAAGCTGAGGCTCACCTGCGATGCCCAGGTACATCACATCCAAAGCTGAGGCACAGCCCAATGTCCAGATGCATCACAGCAAAGCCACAGCCCCAGAAACCAGGAGTGTCAGCAAGGCAGGCAGAGACAGCCAGGCACTAACTGCAGGACTCCAAGGGCACCAGACAGTATGGCCAGCGGGTCTCACCTGCAGGGACAGCAGCTCCTCCTGTTTCTGCTCTTCCCACCTCAGGGGCAGATGAGGCCTGGCGATCAGCTTCTGGAACTTCATCTCCACTATCAAAATCAAACTGTTCTCCCTCTTCCTCTTCATTATTATTAGGATCATATTTCACTTCATTTTCTAAAGTTTAAGAAAATATAAACTATAAGGTTAATGTTTGTCTCTAACAAAGTTGTACTTTCCTATACAAAGATAAACTCAAAAGATAAGCACTGAGCCAGAATCTCCCTCTAAACCAGGAAGCAGCCTCCTGTTTCCCTTTTAACCATCCTACAACTCACAATTGGAAAAGAAGACAAAAATAAGAAAAGACCAGAAGGAGGAGAAGCATGTTTTCACATCTGAAGGAGGATCACCTTCCAAGGCCAGCTCCTGGCAAACAGCTAGAGATATCCTGAGACCTAAAAGCAAAACGTAGGATGGCATAGCTCAAGTGGTAGAATGCCTGCCTAGCAAACACGAGGCCCTAAGAACTCAGTAGTCAAAAAAACATTTTTTTAAGTAGCAGTAGCTATGCCACAGACTAGAAGTTGGGTCTTACTAACATGGAAATGAGTGAGAGCAACACCCACGTGCTTTCCACACCACAGTGTGCTCACAGGCTCACAGGCGTGCCTAGCACCGCCCCACCATGTGCCTAGCACTACCCTGCAGCAAGCAGGATGGCATGATGTTTACTGGCAGTGGGAAAGAGAAGAGTGTGCCTTTGGGGGCTAGAAAAAGGGACACAAATATTGCTGAATTAAAGCACTTACTAAACAAATTTGGGATGTGGTGTAGAGCTCAGTGGTATGGCGTCTGCCTAGCACATGTGACATCCCCAGAATGAATGAATGAATGAACAAACAAATACAATTCTTGTGCAGACTCAGAAAAGGAAAAACCTGTAATTAATTTTTAAAAACTAGGATGCCGTATATTCTACGTGATGGTATACATTCTGTGTAATGGTGTTTATTCTGTGTAATACTATGTACTCAGTTATTATGTTGAAGGTCATTCTTTGTAAAAGTTGTTGAAGTGTGAGTCTCCAGAATCCAGCTGCTTTGTAATTTTTAATGTTCTCCCTATTTTTTAATTTTTATTTTTGTGCCCATGTGGGGCTTGATCTCTGGGCCTGGGCACTGTCCCTTACCTCTTCAGCTCAAGGCTAGCACTCTACCACTTGAGGCACAGCACCACTTCCAGTTTTCTGGTGGTTATTTGGATAAAAGTTTCACTGACTTTCCTGCCCAAGCTGGTTTTGAACCGTGATCCTGAGATCTTAGCTTCCTGAGTAGCGTGAGCCACCAGTGCTTGGCTGTTCTCCCCAACATCTCAGCACTTCAAAGCACCATAATATAATTTCCCATCATATGTGTACCATGGCTGAAAAGACCCGGGATTCATGGGCCAACTTCCAAGGACAGAACAGGAGGACCAATGCCACAAGCACAGAGGCCAGACCCTTCGATTCCCTGCCTGTTATTGTCCTAGACACAGAACACCCAGATCTATGCAGCCGTATAGCTCCTGCCCTCATGAGTCCCTCCACACAGCCCTAGTGCACACACTTAGAACAAGGCCACGCTTCTCAAGAGCCACAGGAAACGCTGAAAAAGACCCACTAAATAAGTGTTGTGAAAATTAACTGTCTGCTCATGCCAGGCAGAGACCAGCCTCCACAGGGCATTTTGGCAGTGACCTAACTCTGACGAGGTGAAAATGGACTGAAGGCCCTTCACTTCACATAGCTTCTGTCTACTGAGCAGATGGATAAGAAGTCTAGTTGCCCCCACAAGGAAAGGAAGCAGGAAGGAAACAGCGTGAGCACTACTCTGTGCATCCGGGGACTCCGCAAGTCATGACAGCACCACCCTGATAGGCAGAGCTTAAGCCTGGATGCGGCCTCCAGTACAAAACCACCCTTCGAGCAGCTCCCATCTGACTGAGCCAGGAGAAAAAAAATCTCCTGGGAACCAGATGCTGGCCACAGGTCAGCAGAGACACTCAGGTCTCACCAGTCACCCTTGAGTGAGGGAGCCACACAAAGCTCACATCCCCTCTCAACGGCAAGTTCATTTTTCACCCTGTTACCTCAGCACCACAGTACAGTGGTCTAAGAAGTGTGGCCTGAGCCAACATAGATCCTAGGACATTGGCGAGGAGGCAGAGTACTACCTGTAGGAGCAGGAGGGGGCAGCTCTCGCTGGTCCATGCTCAGCCCTGCCACGCTCTCAGGTTGCTCAGTGGACAGGAGCCGCCACCAGCAGGGGCATTGTCCTCTCCTTTTAATGGGCAGGGCTTCCTAGTAATAGCCCTGCAACAACAAACAGTCAGTCACACACAGCTGTAAGTAAAGCACTTGCACTTATTCGTTGCAAATACCTGTGAATCTCCCTGGAAATTATAGGAACAAATGAAACAAAAGTTCTCAGGCCTAGATTGCCTTGAATTACAGCCAGGGGTTTATTTTATTACAGCCAGACCCATCTCAACTCAAACCATTTAAAGCCATTGCTTAACGCATCATACCATCTTCTAAGGGGAGAAATGAAAACATAAATGCGTTTGCTTCCTTTTCTTTCAATTAATACTGTGTGTGTGTGTGTGTGTGTATACGTGCACACGTGTGTGCATGCGCATGCTGGTCCTAGGGTTGGAACTCAGAACCTGAGTGCTGTCCCCCAAAATTTTTTTTGATCAGTTGTGGGGCTTGAACTCAGGTCCTGGGTGCTGGTGCTGTCCCTGAGCTCTTTTGCTCAAGGCTAGCACTCTACCACTTTGAACCACAGTGTCACTTCCAGTTTTCTGGTAGTTAATTGAAAATAATTAAATTTAAAAAAAATTAAAAAAATAAAGATGGGAGTAGGAAGAAAAAAAGAAGTCTCACAGACTGTTCTGCCTAGGCTGGTTTTGAACTGCGATCCTCAGATCTCAGCCTCTTAGTAGCCAGAATTATAGGCATAAGATACCAGCATCAGGCAGAACTTTTAACATAAAGACCATTTAAGGATTAAGAATAAAAATTGACCACTGTCTGGGCTGGGAAGTTGGCTCAGTGGTAGAGCGCTTGCCTTGCATGCCTGAGGCCCTGGGTTCGATTCCTCAGCACCACATAAGCAAAAAAAGCTGGAAGTGGCGCTGTGGCTCAAGTGGTAGAGTGCTAGCCTTGAGCTGAAGAGCTGAGGGACAGCGCCCAAGCCCAGAGTTCAGGCCCCACCCCCAAAAAAAGACTAAAAAATAAATATGACTGTCTCAGCTCTTAATCTACAAGTAGAACCTAAGATCTACCATTGGACTGTGGTCAGCTGAACCACCACCTGCTGCCATCAAAAATGGTCCATGACAAAGTGTCTCGTGAGGAATCGAAAGCCAGAAACTCTGCAGTGTCTCAAGAGACCAGCTGACTAAGGGACCCAGTCAAAGCATTAGCTCACAATCTATATAATCTGCAATAAAACCCAATCTGTCCTAGAAAGAAACAATCAGAAAGTATATGGGTTTAGACGCAGGACTCTGATTGGATTCTGGGAAACAAAATGGTGTCCCAAGGAAATTTTCCAAACATTAGCTTTTTTTTTAAAAAAAGTACTTTTAAGTATGTGAATTCTGTTTCTCAAGCAGATAGAATTGTAAGTATGATTCACCAGCCCCTGGCTCACACATAAGTTTATATTACTTTAAATATGTGACTAAGTCTTCAAGCTTCCAACCTGATCTAGTAGATGGGAAGGAAACATGCTGCCACCTACTGGCATGGGAACCCAGACCCCTGGTGAAAGGTACTTACTTTCCATCCATGCAGTGTTGGCGGGGTCGGCTGCCCATCGGGCCAGGGCACTGCCCTCTTGGTTGCCATGATCACTACAAGAAGGAAGCACACCATGAAATGGGACCATGGAGAGGCATACCAACCACTGGGCGAGGGGCCCCATCCTAGGCATGTGTCTACACTGAGCCTGTGAGCTGTGTGTTTTCCCAGGTATGTCTACAGAATCAAAAGTCCAACTTTCATCTACAACTCCACCCACAAGTGCTTCTGATTGCCTCCAAGCATGCTACAGTGTCTGCTGCCAAAGCACAGTGTAAATGCTGCTGTCCCTGCACTGAAAGGTCTTCATTGTTTTCCCATCTCCTCTAATGTCTCTCTCTCTCTCTCTCTCTCTCTCTCTCTCTCTCTCTCTCTCTCTCTCACACACACACACACACACACACGATGCTAGGCTGGTGGTGCAAGGCTTGGGCCTTCTCTGCCTTCAGCACAGACTGGTAGGATGAGACACGAGGCTGCACTAGCCCATAGGGCTGCAGGCACAACCAGACATAGACCCAGATGCTGTCCCAAGCAAAAGGAAGCCACCATGACACTTTTTCAGAACCACCAGACCAGGTTGACTGGAGACTACCTTTGTGAGGACACAGCATGGACAGAGAGATGCAGAGTGACGGGGCCCCAGGATGCATTCATCCTGCTGGGCTCACAGCTATGTGAAGGAACCCATGGGGAGGAAAGGAGACTAAACTAGGAAGCACACACAGAGATGCAGGAGCAGCGCTGAAGAACCCACATGGAAAATGGTCATGTGCATGATTCTGCATGACATGCACAGAGAACTGCTGGGCACTTTTTTGCTAAAAGTTCTAAGGAGGGCTGGGAAGGTGGCTCAGTGGTAGAGTGCTTGCCTTGCATGCCTGAGGCCCTGGGTTCAATTTCTCAGCACCACATAAGCAGAAAGAAAAAAGCTGGAAGTGGCGCTGTGGCTCAAGTGGTAGAGCGCTAGCCTTGAGCTGAAGAGCTGAGGGACAGCGCCCAGGCCCAGAGTTCAGGCCCCACAACCGGACCCAAAAAAAAAAAAAATTGACCACTGTCTTAGTTCCCTTTAGGTAAGCCCATCTCCATATGCATATTTTTCTTTATTTTTCCTTTATTTCTTCCCCTATATGTATGAGAAAAACCAAGTTGAAAAACACACAACACTAATAATGTATGAGATTCATAGCTCTGGAGGATACATGCAGTTAACTGACTTCTATTTGACCCATGCTCAGATCACCAACAGCCCACCTATGACCACCCAACACCTAACTTGTATTCTGTGTAGACCAGACAACACTCACCATGGATTCTGTACAGACCAGAAAACACCCACCCCAGATTCCGTATAGATCAGACAATACTCACCATGGATTCTGTACAGATAACACTCACTATGGATTCTGTACGGACCAGACAACACCCACCATGGATTCTGTACAGACCAGACAACACCCACCCTGGATTCTGTACAAACCAGACAACACCCACAGTGGATTCTGTACAGACCAGACAACACCCGCAGTGGATTCTGCACAGACCAGACAACACCCACAGTGGATTCTGTACAGACCAGACAACATCCACCATGGATTACCCCATGGGCCATGCAATACCTACCCTAATTGTGCCCAATGGGAGGAAAAACAAACTGCTCAGGGCTCTTTTCTAGCTCCTGTTTCAGTATCAGATACAATGGACCTGAAATCCTAGGTGACATCCCCTCCTCCCCACCTGACACTCCTCACATCAGGGCTATCACTGGATTCACATTCTTCATGGAGAAAAAGGACAAAACTTGGGTGTTTGACAGTACCTATCTCTGAGCTGCTGCAGGTGATGAGAGCAAGTGCCTGGCTCAGTTCTGGTGATATAGCACACGAAACTGTCACTGCTGCGTGCAGGAGGAGCCCGTGTGTTACTGATGATGCTAGGTCCTGATACTCTGCCCATATCCACCCACCCTGTCTGCAGTTCACAAGCTAGGTGCTCAAGGGTGTTAACAGAGAAGCAGGGGAATTCATCTCATCATGACAGGATATGGTGTTTAGCTTTCAACCCAAAGCAGTAATACAGGAAGAAGGCCTCCTTGGAGAGTAACTGCACAATGTAATGCTTCCAACAGTCAGACCTAAGGGAAGAACCACAACATGGAAGGACTGTTTGTTTCAGTGATGTGTGTTCACATCTACTATTCCGCATAACTTCACAGGTTCTAAGGCCGAATGTGACATACATATAGGTATGCACACATGCATGCATGCGCCCATATCCACCCACACCACAACAGCACAATGGAGAAACTTGGATGATGGCATGGAGAGGCCTGCCAGTAGATCATGAGAGGCCACAGGACGGAAAGGACGGAGTGGCAGTCTGAGTCACTTTTGGTGCTCTCAGCCTCAATGGAGACTCGGTCCTATTAGGGGAGGAACACAGACTGGCCCTTGCAGTTCCTTAGTCTATCCTCCCACAAGGACAGAAACAGGACAGATAAGGCAACCAACAAATGCCCTACAGTCTGAGAAATGAGGAAGGAAGCAGAGGGGCATCTGGAGCACCTGTGACAGTGGAGACAGATGTCTTAATGGACTGAGCCCCAACGCTGACAACCACAGGCCAACACCAGTAAGGAAAGTGACAGTCTAGCCATCAGTGCCTGTTGAATCCAGAAAAAAAAATCCCATCTATTCTACCCTCACTCCTCATCTGTGGAGTGATGGCAAGGGGCAAATAGGACTTTCCTGTTAGAAGACAAAGTAGTCATGTTTCTGCTTGGAATCTTTTCAAGAGCAGACACACCCATGTTGGCATGCTATATCCCATGACCAATGGCTTTGAGCTTGAATGTTCACATTTGTCCTCAGTTGCCAGTGTTCTAATCCACACTGCACAGGTATCACAAAGGGTTAACATGACCACACAGAGTCCAGCTGACTCCCCAACTTCCCACTGCCAAGACCAGTACAAAACAAAATGAAGCAAAACAAGTTCTGCCTCAACTCTCCAGCCACGGCCAACCTGTGAGGTCACATTGGCTGGCTCTTACACAGAGTACCACCAACAAACTGTCCCAGGGCTTCAAATCCACAACACTTCCAGAGAGAAGGACTCTCACTGCTACTCCCTAGGAACCAAGAGCAAGGCCCAATAACGGGTCACAGACTGGCCATGGCTCTAGGCTATGCCCCTGCACAGTGTCTAACCTCAGTGACCTGGAATGTAGCATACTGAACAGGATACTTTCTGGGGAGCAGAGACACATGCTTTTGCTTCCTGTTTTGCTTCCCAGAGGCCCTCAAGTCTACTTAGCAGTCCACTGTAAAGCCTTTCATCACCCCACCCACAAGGTCACTCTGAGAACCACGGTCAGGTTACATGCATCTGCACGGCAGACTCTGCATCAAAGCATCCCACTGCCTGGAGTCTGGGGCTTCTGTGCACTCTCTAGGGTCAAACCACATGCCCAGTGCCTGGTACTACTCAGCTACATTCTGCAGAGA